GGATGGATGGGTGGGTGGATGGAGGGATGGAGAGGAGAGGAGAGGAGGGAGGAGGGGAGGGGAGGAGAGGAGAAGCTGTTGGAGCTGCAGGTGAGGGGCTGAATCATCACTTATTGGCCTCAACAGTCATTTGTTTACTAGTTAATGTATTAGTTAGAATAATGATCAGAGCATTAATCAGACTGTTTTGATAACTGATCAGTCATTTCACATAGCAACACTTGTCCCAACCGCCGGCTCACGCAGTGGGTTTCTGTGACTGTCAACTAAACGTTTCTAAGAAAGTGAGATGTGTGAAGACATCACCTTGGAGAAACTATGATAAGCATTTTTTAAAAATAATTTTCTATTGGTTTATGAACAAATAACTCGTCAATCAATCAAAAGGTCACCAGATGGATAAAGCCGCCCAGGCTGTGGTTGCACATGTGCAGAGGTTCATAGATGGTTGTGTTGTTTCTCCTAGTGAGCTCATGTCTTCATGTTTCTGTGATACATTTAGAATAGAAGTGGCTGCTCACCCTCTGTGTCCCCATCGATAATGTGTGACCGTCTCTGTCTTCTGCCTGTCTCCCAGCTGGACGAGTGCACCCTGCAGTTATCTGCTAACGGAAACTACTTGGACCTGGACTCGTCTCTGGCCGAGCAGAGGGACGAGCTGGACAGCTTCTATGAAGATGTGACGTAAGGACACCTCCTGTTTCCTCTGTCACACCTGCACAGTGTTTCCATCCAATGTGTGAATGAAAAACCCAAGTAGAGATTTTAAACCAGTGTAACATGTTGGTTGTGTTCAGTGTAACAACAGTTGGGTGGATAAAAATCCAAAGTGAACCAGACTCAGTGGACAAATGCTGACGTCCATGAATCATGTGACTCAAAGCTCCAGTGTATGTGGGGTGATGAGGAGGCTGTGACCTTCCTCCCATTAACACTCGACACTAGCAGAGGTGTCACATTTGCCATTGTGACCAGTAACAGCTTTGCTCTGTGAGTGATGGACTTACACATGAAAACACAGTTTTCAGCTAAACATGAAAAAGTGTTTGTTACTTTAGGTGAGAGATGTGCCCACTTTCTTCCTGGGCTCCGTTTAGTTTATTTGTATAGTGCCGATTCACAACAGTTGTCTCAGGGCACTTTGCAGAATCCGGTCTAGACCTTGCACTATTATCAGGGTTGGCTGTGCATTCAGGCAGATAGATGTGATCAAACCACACAGTCCCGATGAAGCAGATCAGTGCTTGAGTTTAAGGAACGCAGCCAGTGATATACGTCTGTGTCATTCTCTACCAACCCCGTCCAGAGACCAGCAGCACCAGTGAATGTGGTGTCTTCACCATAATGTGTTTGAGTCCAGACATCCCCCTCCCAGTGAGCCACACCACTGCACTGGGGGGCAGGTTTCTTACTCAGGAAACACGGGATGCCGTCTGTTTCCAACAAGCAGTTCCCCAGGCTGAGAACGGTGTTGCTGTGCACAGTCACTGGTCTCTGGTCTAGTCACGCTGCTCCACCAGCTCCTCACTGCACAGAGCACCGTGTTGGAGCTGTTTCTGAAGTCAGACGGGCCTCGACAGCTCCAGCTGCACTGACACATCGGACTGGCTGTGTGCTGTGTCGGGCTCTAACGTGTGTTCGGGCTGAGTCTGTGGCAGCTGTAGAGATGAAAATCCAGGGTGAAAACGTCAGTGTGTGTTTAAAGGCTGAAACAGGGACCGTTCTGAAATTGTTTTTGTCATTATAGCAGTCACACACTCCTTTCTCTCTGTCTCTCTTTCCATCTTTCCTAAGTCTCACCTCCCCCATTCTTTCCATGCCTTCATGCCGTTGTTGTTTCCACACTCTGGTCCCAATAGGCCACAGTCCGCCTGAAGAGGTTTATATGGAAACCAGAGCTGTTCTGGGATCAGCTCAGAGCAGCTTTAGTTGCCTCCACCTCAGACAGAAGATGACATGCAACTGTGATGAGGAAGGTTAGAAGATTAGAGAAGGTGTCACTATGACACCACCTGTGATCTCAGACCAGGAGGAAGACCGGCAGACCTGACAGAAAGATCAGGCTCAAGTCTGAATCCACCGTGTGACCTTTGTCAGGGTTGAGCACGGTGGCGTGTGCCAGCATGAAGGAGCAGTAGACTGGAGTTGTATCATGGCAGCAAAAGAGCATGTGCAGCACCTCCTGCTTTATTGTGTGTGTGCCGTGATCACACATGGAGGACAAATGAAGAGTGTTTCTAAATGTAGTGTTCATCGCTGTGTGATGCCACAGCTCTGGGTCTGTGTGCATGTCTGTCCAGTCTCCTCTGTTCTAACACCTGACAGAGCAACAGCAATGAACATCCCTCGTACGTGACCGGTCTTGTTAACAGTTGCTCCTGCTCAAGCTGGCATCCCTTATGTCTTCATTGTAAGTGGACACAAGTGTCCAGTCGTTCAGTGTAAAGTAAGTGTAAGTAAATCTGTGGCTCTCAGACTCTTGCCACTTCCAGATTCAAACAGGGCCCGTGACTTGAGCTTTTCTCCTCCAGCTGTCACACTGACAGTGATTTAAGGGGATCTCTGTACAGCCAGTAGGAGCAGGAGGAACTGGGAACCAGTTCATCATCATACTGAGATGTGCTGGTGAAACAGATGCACACTGATCCAGCTGCTGTTCCCACTGTAAGCTACATGTTTTCACTGAAGCCATTGTCTCTGTCTTCCTCTGAACACATGAAGATCAGTGTTAGTAGCTGCGCGAGGCCCCGAGTCTCCACATGAACAATGCCTGCAGCAGCGGCACGTGCAGTGCAATGACATTGGCTCCTGAGTGTTCAGTGTGTGTACTGGGCACTGAGGTTGAACTGGGTCTGCTGGTTTCTCTAGTAAAAGGAATGTGAGCATATTCCCATGAGGTCTGGTTGACAGACAGTCTGAACGCTTTGGTTTTCCCTCTAACTCCCTGTCTGCGTCTGATTTTTCCACAGAAAAGGAAAGAAGCCCATTCTGATCCTGAGGACTCAGCTCTCTGTTCGAGTTCACGCCATCCTCGGTAATTATCTCCTCCAAGGCCTCTTATTTCTTCTTTCCATGGCTCCATCCCTCTGCTGTAGCAGCACAGTGATGAGTCAGGGGAAACTTTGCTCTCTCTCTGGCCACACTGTCACCACAGTGACGTGTGGTTCACTGGGAGGATTTCCTCTCTCTGACTCTGCTGCTCAGACTCTGAATCAGTTTCTGGTTGAGCAACATCTTTTGTGTATAGTATGAAGATGAAACTTTGCATCTCAGCTGTTGATTTGTTGTGCAAAAATGAGGTTTGACAACATCCTGGCGAACATGTTCTGGTAATGTTCCTGCCTCATCTTAGGGCTCCAAAACATATACAGATGTTCCCACGGGTTACTGTTACAGCTTGATGTCGTGACAGCAGTTCCACTGAGTTTCAATAACAGCAGCAGTAGTAGAACTTTATTTCTGCTTGGTCAGTGAGATTTGTTGGTTTGGCGTTCTTAAGTTACATACTGTAGCTTTAAGAGTTGAAACTATCCAGAGGAACTGAGCAGTCAGAAGACAGTTTTATGCCACAGAAGGCCAGTGGACAAATCAGTCATGTTCCTGATAAGTTGACCTGACAAAGCCCAGATGATTTCCGAGCTAACTGTAGATGGGCAAACAGATCTTCCTGCAGAAAACTCTAAAATCCAAGGCTGTGCCTCTTGACAAATTAATGGCAGGAGCTCGTTATAGCTGTGATTGCTACTGGGGCGGGGCTGAAAAGTAATGTCAGTAAGATCACTGAGCTGAGCAGGTGATGGTAGAATCACCACAGCTCCGCCACAGACACAATCCCAATGTGAATGGAGCCATGTTTTCTCGAAATGTGCATTCTGGTTTGGATTTCCACAGCAGGGCCAAAGCCCAGGAAGATTAAAAAATGAGCCGCTGAAGGTGCAACAGTCAGCAGCAGGGTTTGAAGAATGAATTCCATATGGAACATGGAGCAGTCAGCAGCGTCCAGCATGAAGGCCTCACCCCGATTGTTCTTGGACCTTCAGAAAGTACTGTTCTTGGGGGAGTGGAGTTAAAATTAGATCCTGTTTCCTCCAGTGGAAATGCAGGTTGAGGAAAAGGTTCCTGTTCCCAGAGAAAGTTCCTTTGGTGGAAACAGAGCTTAAGGAGCTGCTGTGTCCACACCATACTGAGTCAATGGGGCTTCAGCATTGGCAGCATTCAGCTGGTCCAGTCTGACGTGTGCTCCCCGGTCGTCTCTGGACTGCTGCCTGTGTCTGTGCTTCACTGAGCAGCTCGGTGTTTGCTCTGTTTCTTGTTGCTGTTTGGGTTCCAGCAGACAAACCTCCAGTTTGGGTTCAGGCTTTTTATTTTTAGCCTTTTCGAGCTCATCTAAGCCTGTTGTGTTGCTGCTCACAGCAGCTGGGCGGTCTGGGTTGAAGCCCAAGAGGTCTGAGTTATTTTTAAGTTTTATTTTCCTTTATGGGCTTACAGCAGCGCTTTGTGGGCCTAGTGTGAAATCTGGAGGTCTGTGTCAGAGCCCACGGTTGCAGGTAAAATGTGCATGTCAGATATAGTAATCATGTCATTCAACATTTGAGGTGGGTTGTGTCGGTCTCTGTAAAGCTGATGGGTGGGTGGGAGGTTGGCTGATTGGCTTTCTGTGTGTCCATCTGTAGTAGATGCTTGTTTAAAATAAAAATGCATGGTCTCCAAGCCAGGCACTGTTCAGCTGTTAAACAGTTCTGCAGCTAATGAGTATTTGCACTTTGCTGATTAATTGTTTTGTCTTAAAAAGTAATGAAAACAGCCCAACAGGATTCTCTAAAGCCCAGAGTGCTCGTTGTCCACAGTCAGTAGGCTGAAACCAGATTACCATCCAGTAAGTAGGACTGCGAACACTGCTGTAACCGAGCGAATCGCTTCATCAGATTCACCTTTCCTGGGAACCACTGAACCTGCTCAGAGTTCCTATTGTCATCCCCCACCTGGCACAGCCCCACCCTTCCTGCTCCAGAGGGGATTTCTCAGCATGCTTCCTGCTTCAGGCTCTCGCTGTGTGTAGACTGAGCCAGGGTGAGTTCTGTCTCTCTGTCTTCAGGGCTAAACAAATGGACTTTTGTGCCAAGTCTGCAGCTCAGTGACTGACAGGACTGGAACAGTGGCAGCAGTCACCCGTCTGCTGTGTCTGCTCATTCTTCTTCTGTGGAAGCAACAGGGGCGATGTGGGAAAGGAGCTGAAACAAATCCAAGAAAGAATAAAGACAGATATGAACTCTTCCTGGGTCACTATGAGGGACTGCTCACAATGACTGTGATAGAGGAGCAAGGATAAAAAAACAAACACCTAACTATCAGGCTCAGACACATCAGGACTGAACGACAAACAGCTGGAGGTGAAATAGCTCTGGAACATAAGCAAAAGTGTGTAAACACAACTCGCTGTTCTCGGCCCAGAAGCAGTGTCATGTTCGCTGATAGATCGTGTTTGTTCATGTTGTGATCACACCCCCGTCACACAGTTTAGACAGGTCTCCAGTGGTGTGTTCAGGTGATCCCTCTCAACTCGTACAGTTAAGTTGTGCTGGTGTTAATGCTGTTAAAGAAAGCTGACAAATCTTTTTTTTTTTTTTTTTACATAGAAACCAAGGCTAAAACTAGATATTATGACTACCAGATATGCAATTTTACACTTCCATCTCCTTCATAAACATTCACACCCCTTCACTTTGTGCTGCCCACTGCCCAGATTCCAGTGTGTTAAGCCTGTAGAGATTTACCTGAAGAACAGCGACCCCAGGAGTGCAGACAGTGGAGGGGTCTGAACACTGATTTTACTGCCTGATTTTGCTATAGGGAAACCAGACGCAGCAACAAAACCGCTGGCAGCTCCACACCTCGAGCAGCCTTTTTTTACCTCCTTAGAGATGATAACAACAACGGTAACTGTGCACAACAAAGATAGTGGCAAGTCACCATTTTACTTAATCGATTAATTCCTTAAATTTTTTAAATCAAAATAGCTGCAGATGAATTTCCTGTCATTGAACTAATTGATTAATCAGTGAATAGTTCTGATCAAACCCAGCCATCATTCCAGAGTTACTGTGTATATTCAGTCATTTAGAGCCTGCTGACCTTTGACCCAGAGCAGGTGTGCCAGTACAAACCCGGCTGTCCTGGGGAACTGGGTTAGTCTGCACCCACCAGCACTGACACAGCATCCTGTGTGTGCCTCTCACTGCTCTTTGGACTGTGACTGCATCTCCATGTGTTGTTGCTTTTGCTTTTGGTGGTTAAAGCAGACAGCGGCTCAGACCTGCATAGGTCCTGGTCATGAATGTTCTTTCATTTGCGTGTTGAACATACTGTATGATTTTGTATTGTTGTCGTTCAGACTGTCTTCTCACTGTTGGCACCAACTGATAACAGCTGATGCCATTTACAACAGCTACCAACAGCTACCAGAAGACCGTTAGGACGTTGTGTGAGTTGGAAAATAAAAACAATAAAATGATTCCTAAATCTTTTAAAACACGTATGAGACTGAGAAAGTCCATTGTTTTATTTTAAACAAATTGCTCGTTTTAAATTTGTTTCCACAACACGTTTCACAGATGTTGGGACAGGACCGTGTTTCCCGCTGCGCTGCATCACCTCTTCTGTAATGTACATCGTTTCCAGTAAGAATATAAAAAGTTGGCTTGTGGGCAGTTTCCACTTTGTCTCAGCCTGTCTTAAATGAGCTGGAGCCCAGAGAAGTTGGCGGCGTGTCTGGGTCTGTTTATATATGGTGTTTTCTCTGTATGGTAAAGTGTAACGTGGCTGCAGTGACAGCCGTGTTCACTGACAGTGGTTCCAGAGGTGTCCCTGAGTCCATGCAGTGAATTCACTGCAGAATCTTGTCTGTGTTTAATGCAGTGTGTCCTGTGGGCCAGAAGACCAGGGCCCTTCGCTGCAGGTTTTCAGCCTTGTCCCTGGTTTACAGAGTTTTCTCTGGGATCTCTGACTCTTCATGTTGTGTACTGTAGGTGATGAAAACCCCAAAATCTTTTCAGCTTTGTGTTGTGAAAAAAAAGCTGCTGCTTCTTCTTTGTTGAACTGTTTGCCACAGAACGGTGACCCTCCCTGTCCTTGCTGCTGACTCAGACTCTCTAGGATGCCCTTTGTAAACCCAGTCACGATGCTGACCTGTTGGCAGATGACCTCAGTAGCTGTGAGCTGGTCCACATTCCAACATCATTCAACCCTTCCTGTGTTTTGCTGCCCCCTGTTTTTTTGGAATGTGTTGCTGGCATCAAATTCAGAATAAGCTTGAATCTACACAAAAATATATTAATCGGGACATTGGATCTTTTTGTACTGTTACCAGATCTGCATGGGGTTTTGGAGCTTTTCAAAACATTTCATTCAGTTTTTTTTATGTCCCCACTTTTTGGGGGGGTTGCCTTTCCTGTAAAGTTCTAACTCGAGCATAAAGAAATGTCTTCACCTTTCATCAGAGCCAGCACATGAAGCCAAACACACCTGCCGTTACCTGCGTCCTGTGTTTGGCACCAGACGGTCGTTGGTGTGTGTTGAAGGCTTAACAAGGACCATATCCAGGAGCAGCTGCGGCCTACAGAGAACTACAGTCATGACTGCTCTGAGAGTAATGATGACAGTTCTTCTTAAGCTCTCTGCTCAGTTTTTCCTCCAGAGTGGATCAGCAGCACTGGCACTAACAGGAAGTACCACACTATGTGTATCAGGGTCACTTCCTGTCGCTGTAGCGCGAACACAGGAGTCCTTCCCTGTGTGTCTGCTATATTCACCGATGTGCCAGGAATGTGGCTCACTCCCAGCTCTGCCGTCTAATGTTCAGCTCTTGAACAGTGCCTGTGCTGGGCTGTGGTTAAACTGGTTAAACTGGTCCTGTGTTTCCTGTTACTCAAGAGGTCAGTCATCTGAATGAAATAATAAGACACCAGAGTTTATTACATCAGCGACTCCGATCAGTTTTTAACACTGAAACACATGCTGATAAATCCCAGTAACTTC